CTAAACTTGACAGCCTATCATCAAAATGGAAAGAGCTAGAGGAGCAAGATCGAAAAAACTCAAAAGCTAGCAGAAGACAAGAAATAACTAAGATCAGAGAAGAACTGAAGGAAACAGAGACACAAAAAACCCTTCAAAACATCAATAAATCCAGGAGCTGGTTTTTTGAAAGATCAACAAAATAGACTCCTAGCCAGAAAAGGGAGAAAAATCAAATAGATGCAATAAAAAATGATAAAGGGTATATCACCACTGATTCCACAGAAATACAAACTAAAATCGGAGATTACTACAAACAACTCTATGCACATAAACCTGGAAGAAATGAATAAATTCCTGGACACTTGTATCCTCCCTAACCTAAACCAGGAAGAAGGTGAAACCTTGAATAGACCAGTAACAAGGGCTGAAGTTGAGGTAGCAATTAACAGCCTACCACCCAAAAAAAAGTCCAGGTCCAGATGGGTTCAAAGCTGAATTCTACCAGATGTACAAAGAGGAACTGGTACCATTCCTTCTGAAACTACTCCAAAAAATACAAAAAAGAGGGAATTCTTCCCAAACCATTTTATGAGACCAACATCATCCTGATACCAAAACCCGGCAGACACTCAACAAAAAAAGAAAACTTCAGGCCAATATCCCTGATGAACATAGACGAAAAAATCTTCAATAAAATACTGGCAAAGCAATTGTGACAGCACATCAAAAATCTTATCCATCACAAACGAGTAGGCTTCTTTCCAGGTATGCAAGGCTTGTTCAACATACCCAAGTCTATAAACATAATCCACCACATGAACAGAACCAAAGACAAAAACCATATGATTATCTCAATAGATGCAGAGAAGGCCTTCCACAAAATTCAACAGCACTTTATGCTAAAAACTCTCATTAAACTAGGTATCAAAGGAACATATCTCAAAATAATAAAAGCTATTTACGACAAACCTACAGCCAATATCATACTGAATGGGCAAAAACTGGAACCATTCCTTTTGAAATCCGGCACTAGACAAGGAAGCCCTCTCTTACCACTCCTATTCAATATAGTATTGGAAGTTCTAGCCAGAGCAATTAGGCAAGAAAAAAAAATAAAGTGTATTCAATTAGAAAAAGAGGAAGTTAAATTGTCTCTATTTGCAGATGACATGATTGTATATTTAGAAGACCCCATCATCTCAGCCCAAAATCTCCTTAAACTGATAAGCAACTTCAGCAAAGTCTCAGGATACAAAATCAATGTGCAGAAATCACAAGCATTTCTATATACCAACAACAGACTAACAGAGAGCCAAATCATGAGCGAACTACCATTCACAATTGCTACCAAGAGAATAAAATACCTAGGAACACAACTAACAAAGGATGTAAAGGACCTCTTTGAGGAGAACTACAAACCACTGTTCAAGAAAATAAGAGAGGACACAAACAAATGAAGAAACATTCCATGCTCATAGTTAAGAAAAATCAATATTGTGAAAATGGCCATACCACCCAGAGTAATTTATAGATTCAATGCTATCCCCATCAAGCTACCAATGACCTTCTTCGCAGAACTGAAAAAAAACACCCTAAACTTCATATGGAACCAAAAGAGAACCTGCATAGCCAATACAATCCTGAGCAAAAAGAACAAAGCTGAAGGCATCATGCTACCTGATTTCAAACCACACTACAAAGCTACAGTAATCAAAACAGCATGGTACTGGTACCAAAACAGGGATATAGACTAATGGAAAAAAACAGAGGCCTTAGAGGCAATGCCACACATCTACAACCATCTGATCTTTGACAAACCTGACAAAAACAAGCAATGGGGAAAGGATTCCCTCTTTAATAAACTGTGTTGGGAAAACTGGCTAGCAGTGTGCAGAAAGCAAAAACTGGACTCCTTTCTGACACCTTACAGTAAAGTTAACTCCAGATGGACTAAAGACTTAAACATAAGCTCTAACACCATAAAAACCCTAGAAGAAAACCTAGGTAAAACCATTCAGGACATAAGCATAGGCAAGGACTTCATGAATAAAACGCCAAAAGCATTGGCAACAAAAGCCAAAACAGAAAAATGGGACCTTTTTAAACTCCACAGCTTCTGTACAGCAAAAGAAACAATCATTAGAGTGAACCAGCATCCAACAGAATGGGAAAAATTTTTTGCAATCTACCCATCTGACAAAGGGCTAATATTCAGAATCTACAAAGAACTAAAACAGATTAACAAGAAACAAATAAACAAACCCATCCAAAAGTGGGTGAAGGATATGAACACTTTTCAAAAGAAGACATATATGAGGTGGCCGGGCACGGTGGCTCACGCCTGTGATCCCAGCACTTTGGGAGGCTGAGGTGGGTGGATCACGAGGCCAAGAGATCGAGACCATCCTGGTCAACATGGTGAAACCCCGTCTCTACTAAAATTACAAAAAATTAGCTGGGCATGGTGGCGCGTGCCTGTAATCCCAGCTACTCAGGAGGCTGAGGCAGGAGAATTGCCTGAACCCAGGAGGCGGAGGTTGCGGTGAGCCGAGATTGCGCCATTGCACTCCAGCCTGGGTAACAAGAGCGAAACTCCGTCTCAAAAAAAAAAGACATATATGAGGTGAACAAACATATGAAATTATGCTCATCATCACTGATTATTAGAGAAATGCAAATCAAAACCACACTGAGAAACCACCTCACGCCAGTTTGAATGGCGATCACCAAAAAATCTGGAGACAACAGCTGCTGGAGAAGATGTGGAGAAATAAGAACACGTTTACACTGTTAGCGGGAGTGTAAACTACTTCAACCATTGTGGAAGACAGTGTGGCACTTCCTCAAGGACCTAGAAGTAGAAATTCCATTTGACCCAGCAATCCCATTACTGGGTATATATCCAAAGGATTACAAATCATTCTATTATCAAGACACATGCACACGTATGTTCATAATGACATTATTTACAATAGCAAAGACCTGGAACCAACCCAAATACCCATCAACAATAGTCTGGACAAGAAAAATGTGGCACATATACACCATGGAATACTATGCAGCCATAAAAAATGAGTTTGTGTCCTTTGTAGGGACATGGATGAATCTGGAAACCATAATTCTCAGCAAACTGATATAAGAACAGAAAATTAAACACTGCATGTTCTCACTCACAGGCAGATGATGAACAATGAGAACACATGGACACAGGGAGGGGAGTACCACACACTGGGGTCTGTTGGAGACGCCACAGGAGGGACAGTGGGGTGGTAGGGAGGTTGGGGAGGGATAACATGGGGAGAAATGCCAGATGTAGGTGACAGGGGGATGGAGGCAGAAAACCACATCGCCATGTGTGTACCTATGCAACAATCCTGAATGATCTACACATGCACCCCAAAATCTAAAGTACAATAAAAACATTTTTTTTAAAAATAGGCCACCAAGCCAAGTGCAGTGACACAAGCCAAAAAAAAAAAAAAAAAGTGAGGCCGGGCGCGGTGGATCAAGCCTGTAATCCCAGCACTGTGGGAGGCTGAGGCGGGTGGATCACGAGGTCAAGAGATCGAGACCATCCTGGTCAACATGGTGAAACCCCGTCTCTACTAAAACTACAAAAAATTAGCTGGGCATGGTGGTGCGTGCCTGTAATCCCAGCTACTCAGGAGGCTGGGGCAGGAGAATTGCCTGAACCCAGGAGGCGGAGGTTGCGGTGAGCCGAGATCGCGCCATTGCACTCCAGCCTGGGTAACAAGAGTGAAACTCCGTCTCAAAAAAAAAAAAAGAGTGATCTGATGATTCAATTTGGGATGCAAAAAAGTTTCCTCTTTCCTCAGGTAGTATAATTGGAGTTTAGATGCCCATTTCTCTATTTTAGTTCACTATCCCCTTTCATGTTTGCTGCTCAAAACAGAAAAAAAAGAAACTGTAGGGGGAGGAAAAGCTACAAAGATTAAAATGCCATCATGTAAACACAAAATCAGTAACTAGACCCTTGGCTCTAATATTGGCTTTTCACCTTTTGAATACATTTTCTCATTCTGCTTTGTTTTTTCATCAGAACTCTGCAGCCCCCAAATACAAATATAATAGTCAAAGGCCTGAGAATTTTGCTTAGAATGACAGAAAGGAACTAAAGTTCACAACTGGATCATATCTAATTTTCTGCCAAAACAAAACTCATGTTTAATCCCTCTGTGTAGGAAAAGCATATATTAGTCCATTTTCACACTACTATAAAGAACTGCCTGAGACTGGGTAATTAAAAAGGAAAGAGGTTTAATTGACTCACAGTTCAGCATGGTTGGGGAAGCCTCAGGGAACTGACAGTTATGGTAGAAGGCAAAGGGAAAGCAAGGCGCCTTCTTCCCAAGGTGGCAGAAAGGAGAATAAACACAGGAGGAACTACCACACACTTAGAAAACCATGAGATCTTGTGAAAACTCACTATCACGAGAACAACATGGGAGAAACCAATCCCCACCCACCTCCCATGATTCAGTTATCTCCACCTGGTCTCTCCCTTGACACATGGATTATGGAGATTATGGAGCTTACAATTCAAGATGAGATTTTGCGTGGGAACACAGCCAAACCACATCAAAGTAGATTATATAAAGAAAAGAACAAAACTTTCCCTTTTATCTACTTTTTAGTTTATTACATGTGAGCATTTTTGCAGAATTTTGGTAGAAAAGTTGTTTGGTAGTGTGTCATAGTTACCTGTAAAACCTCACAAATGTTTAAGATAATCAAATTATAAACACAGTCTGTTTTAAACCTAAATTATTTCTTGTCAGAAAAAAAAAAAATCTAAGACATTCATTTCCTCTGTGGCCTGGGTTCCAAAGAGTAAATCTGTAATCGTGAATAGAAAAAAAAAAGCCTCAGAGGCAGAAAAAGGTAGTAAACTCTTCAAATAAATAAATGTGCTGTTTTGTAATTTCAAAAATATGCATTTGATTCATAATACTGTTAAAATATTCATTTCATACTTATGCAATGTAAAAAACAGAAAATTCAAGATTTGGAAGAAGAGTTTATTCTATGAGCAGATGTCATCTGCAAAGTTTATCAGTTTACAATTAGGAAGGATTATGAGCCAAAGAGAAACTTTCACAAAATAATACAATAAGACTAGCATCCAAATCACACAGATTTACATGAAAGTGAAAAATAGGGACTCACTTTTTCGATTATGGGAAGCGTAGGGGGAGAAAAAGTAATTGTGTTCTATGATAAATGAGCCTTTCTTAGCTGAGAAATCAGAGTTCCTTCCCATTTTATGTACTTAATTTGTGCACTTTCAATTCTATGCTCCAAGCCATTTCTTTCATCTTACGAATATAAGAAAATTAGAATTGTACTATTGAGGATATAAGAGGAATTTGTTCTTGAAAGAAGTTAACTATAATGATGCCTTATTACAGTACTTTGATATAAAATCAGAAAGATACTGAGCTTGGAAAAGCATAATACTGTTATCACTTACAACTACATTTATTTGGGGGAGAAAATATCTTGAATGATTCACCAATATAAATGCACTGAAGCCAGCACACACCTCTGATGTGATTCGATGTGAGTTGTCATGTTAAACCTCAGACCTGGGGTATTATTAGGGTACATTCGTTGCATCTAACAACCCATGCTCCAAGAAACCACGGTGAGAGCCAAGAAGTAGAACCATTTTTTATATCCCGCATTTATTTAAGCAAACCAAATGTGTAGAGATAGGAAATTAATGTGTTATAATGTTTTACAAACACAGAGAGAAGACACAGAATATCAAGACCCTGAAGAGAGTGCATTTGAGGACGCAGTTCTATCATAGGAGACCACTTGCAGGGAACACATGAGAGCCACGGCTGACACACCCATCTATTGTTCCTGGTTTGCCATCATTCAAGATGCAATAGATAAATCAGTGATTTGCTTTCAAACAAATATTACTTTAATGATTAGTGTAGCCTTGAAGGGTTTGTGAGTGACTATACTATACAATGTGATGCTAGGCTTAATGTGTCATTTCAATGCTGCTGTACATTAAGCAGGGGAAATCATTACATATTAACTGCGACATCCACTAAAATGTGAACTAGGTTGCATAGGTTAGTCCTTTGGGCAGCACGATGTTGCTCTAGTCCACCAAGGCTTAAAGATTCACAGTGTAGAGGAAAAAAATATGAATTAAAGCATTTCTACTAAAATATAGTTTAATAGCTGGTGTTAACAATTTGCATAACAGAAGCCGAATTAATAACATTGTCACATTCCGTAAGCCCCTTCATTTGAAAAACACTCCATGTTTTCTTCAAAACTGTTACACTCTCAAAGCTAGTCTTGCAAATTAATCGTCAAACAAAATTCTACTTATTTTGAAGCAAATAGAAGCCAAACTCCACAATGGTTCAGTTTCGATCACAGAACAAAGATCAAGAGTTTCACATCACGTCTGTAATACATTTGGTGCTGCTTCCCAAATGCTCAGCAATTCACTGCATGGACACTGGAGAATGGGACTGTGATGCAGTTTTCTCTTTTTCTTTAAAGTACATCATTCTTAACAGCAAACGGATTACAAAGAAGTAGATACTATGCAAACTGGATACCATATATCAAACACAAAAATCCTATGGAATTCCCATGAATATAATGAAGTAATACAGACAATTGAGAAAATTTGCTCCAAGATTCTTCCAAGTTTATGGATTCAAGTAGTCTAAGCATCATGGAATAATGACCACAGAAGCAACATACAATGCCTTGACTTTTTTGATCAATAGTTGACAGTTAGTTGCCTGAAAAGGTCCAAAAGGCATGGAATACTTCAGAAAGAGACTTTTATTTTAACTTCCTTTTTAGTTTACATAGCTTCTTACTTAACTAAAAGCTCTCCCACCTCCATATCACATCACTCAAAACAACCACAATCTAGCCACTTTCAGATTATCAGAAGCAAATCACAAAGGTATAATTAATTTATGAAGTGAAGTTCATCTTATGTAGTGAATCCAGCCTCATAATTATTCTATTTTACAATAGGTATTTTAAATCCCAAATCTAAAGTTAATGTTTATATAGCTCAACTCTATAAATCCACAAAGAACCTTTCAGAAATAGATGGAAGAAGTTAGCATTTTCTAAAGTCCTAAACCTTTAGAGATAAAATACAATCAGCTAACACCTTAAATATGTCAGGAGCATCCCACTTCCCTACCACAAAAATATCAATCATGTGTAATAAAATATTACTATAGAATAGGCAGCAACTTGCTTGCTTGGTTTTCTTTCCAAGACCATACTAGATAAAGAAGAGTAATCAAAAAGGCACCTATATTTGTATATATCTGTATTATAATTTTGGTATACATTTTATCCACTTTCTATAGGGATGTGTTATTAAAGATTACACACGTTTTCTTCATCTTTTCATTGAAAACATTCCACTGGAGATCGATGAACCTGAAAAGGAGGTACACCCTTTGAACTTCCACTATCCTTTTAGAAGTCTTGTTCCTCATTCCCAGAATGTTGTCAAGCTCAGCACAGAGATAAGGAAAGACTGTGGCACACTGGAAAAACCAGATCTGCATCTTCTTCAAGAAATGAGCCCAGTGGCCAGAGAAGGGCTGGTCTAATCATCTTCTAATCTCATCCATATTCCTACAAGGTGCTTGTGGAAACTGTGCTTACAAATGCCTGTGTGGTCTGTGGATGTCGGGGAGACCTGGGATTATCAACAGCCTCCTTCATGGATATCTGACAAGCATATAAATATTTCACACTGAACTACACTGCAAGTGTGTAAACAATAACAAGAAGACATGAAGGATTCATTTTGCCATAGGTTAGAAATAGAAAGCTTTCTAGAGAACAAGAATTATTAGTAAAAATGTATACTACAAAAGCTTACACAAAAGCAATATATTCTGTTGCTATACTTTGCACAAGAGAGAATATAATTTTGTTTTCAGAACCTTTTAAAAGTGTATCAAACTGTTCCTTGTGCTTCTGTCAGGCTTGAGAACACATCGAACTTAGAAAGGCAGGTGCATGCTCTCTGTGCTTGGGTGTTTACACAGTCATCTTTAACTCAATATTTAAAAATCTTCTTTAGCTGTCAGCTTTATGCACGAGATACCTGTTGCCAAATTGAAGGTGGGAGGGAAGCACATGAAAAGTGGAAAAGTTGCTCAAGCATGTAATTTTTTTAAATGATGCTTTTAAAAATAGCACTTTGGTTTTATACATACATTTTTCCAATATTTCTCCTGAGATGCTTAATATCCTGACACACTTTATTAACAATTGCCAACACTACCAAATTATGGCCTCATGAGCATGCAACGTCTTGTTCAGCTTTAGTCTTCATTGTAAAATAACTACCCTCTAGTTAAATTCTGATCAGATCTTAATTCCTAAAGGCTTGAAGCAGAAATATCTTGCTATGCAAACATTATTACGTGAAGCTTAAAATTTTAAGAGACTTATTCCTCAGATAAGTATTTACTTTTATATTCAGTGAATCTGGTTTTGAAGCCAGTGGATGAAACTACTTTCTTGATTACAAGCATTATTTCAAGTCAGTTTTCATTGTGCTTCCTATAGATGTGCTATTTATCTAAAATTGTACCTGTCCTACATTTAGTCTAAAAATTTAATCAACTGTTCTTTTTTTATAATCACAAAAAGATGGCCTGCCTGGGTGAAATGTAAATATAAACTTAGTAAAATAAAATTGAGCAGATGTTTTATCCTCAGCTTTAATGACAGCTTTTTTGCAAAAAATATTGCAAGTTCAGCTTATCTTTGTAGGTTTGTGTATAATATACGAAAACAGATATGGGGTTTTATCACTTTAATTGCGACTGGCCATTTCAATGAGGGGAAATCAGTCAAGCTGGTTATCTGGTAACCTGCAAAACCCCCTTAAAAGAAGTCTGTAGTTATTTGCCTGAATTTATTTTTTAAACTTTATGTCAGTGGCATATAGAAGCAGCTTCAGTGTAATAAAGCTTATTTGCTCTTTTAGCCTCACAAAATGAAATCACAGATTTTCAAAAGCATGTGCTAACTTTCCTAAAGTGTAAATAAATTAGCTGTGGCCTTTGGACTAGTAAACATTTCCTTAAAAGATGTTTGCAGGACGTTTTGTTAATTTCCTTAAACGTAACATATAAGGCAGATATCCCCAAGACCCATATATGTTAGTACATTTTTGCAATTTTTCTTTTTCAGTTTTATCTTAACTGTGAAGTCAGACCCTAAATGAATGCTACCCTGTTGCAGGTCACAATAAAGGGTATAATCAGAAAAACACTGGATGGCTGATGGGCACCAGTAGCTCAATGGCCTTGACTGCAGGCTCTGGAGGAAATTTCAAGACCCATCAGCAAGGGCTGCACTGGTGGCTGTGAATCCAGCAAAAGCCTGCAAAGTCACTTATTCGAAAATCAAAACACGACAACAATTTCTTTCTTAGAAAACAGCCTCTTGGGCTGGTACTGAAAAATCTCTGATGACATTCTTGTTTCATTCCCTTGAAGGTGATTTAGAAAATAAAAGCCAGAAAACGGGAAAGGACATCTTTTGATTAACCACTTTCAGTGGCTAGATTTCCATTCCAGAATTTGAATACCATTTTCCAAAAGAAGACACCAGATCTTCTCTGTTTGGAACTGGCAACTGTCTGCTGGGTATTTTTCCAGTCACACTCCAGCTTCCATTGCTTCATTGGCTCCTGTTACATTTTCTTCAGTTTGAAATCAGTGGTGGCATTAAGTTAATGAAAGCTGTTCAATGGAACACCTAAATCGCTTATTTACTAGAGTATACATGATATTTCCTAAGGTGTAAATCCTTCATAACTAGAGTGCAATGCAGCAGGGAAATCTCAAGCAACTTTTCCAAGTATGTTTTTCTCTTGAGCTGGTAACTAGAGGAAGAAAGGGCTTTTATCAGTCACCCTTTTTGCTTCAATAATAGGAACGGGCAGTGCAGCTGCCTATGTTACAGAAGCTTGAATCTACATGACATGCAACAGGGTAAACGCTACTAGGGAAATTATATCAATGACATTATAATTTGCCCTTTGCAGAGTAGCTGTGAAGTTATTTGGTCCTGACATTCTGTGGAACTGAGCATAGACTTGAGTCCATAGAATATACATGGAAAGTAGGAGATACCTTGGTACAAATGAGAAATAAATAGACCCCAGTCAGCCTAGGGAATGAGAAAATTTCTGTTTAGTAGAAGTTTCTAGATCCCTAAGATAACCAGTCAACATAATTTTAACCAGACTGTCCTTCTGCCACTGTTTACATTTGTTATATTGGGCAATTTTCACTAATATTGGAAATTGCCTCATGACTCAAAAGCAAAACGGGTTTTACATTATTGGCTGCATTACTGAGTTAAGAGAATTGGCTTCTGGTGATTCCAAAGTGACAGCTAAGAAGTTTCATATACACGCTACATTTAAGGGACAATCAACATCTCTATTAAAGTCTACAAAAATACATTTCCCAGAAGGGTTCAATAGCCAATCAAAGGAAACCACTAACACAATTAGCAGCACCAGGTCTCCAGATACAATGATTTTTGTTTGTAGCAATTACTGAAAATGCTGCTGTTTTCAGCCCAGAGGTCATTCCTTCTTCCTGGTACCTGTGTGTCTAATTGTCAAAGGAAGGATACATCATTGTAAAATAATGGCCAAGTTGTCTTAAAAGTATCTTCTATCTTTTAAAAAGGTTAGGTTTAGAATACATTAGAATAAAGCTCAAAGGGCAAGGAAAAATAATTAATTAACAAACTCAATGTAATTCGCTGGGAGCATTCCTGTTCTCCCTGTTCTCTGCACTGTGCCATACATCCAGCCATCATCAATGGGCTGCACATTAACAATGTAGTCGCCGTCTCTGAAGGAGACCTCATCTTCATCCTGGGCACTGTAATCGTACATGGCTCGGTAGGTCCTCTGAAAAAGGAAGAAGGGATTACACAATGAATACCAAAATAGCTACAGCCACAAATTCCAATCACAACACACCAACCCACACATAAAGGAACTATTAGGAATGTTTTCAAACACATGTACCTCTGGCAATCTGTAAACCTAACATCTAACTGTGCTGTTATCAACTTTACTAGTCTAGCAAAAAGCTTAATATTTTTGGAACACGGATAGAAAACTCACTAAATATGACAGCTAGCCCATCAAAAAGCTAGCTTTGAAATAATAAAGCCAAGTTTCCCCCAGCTTCAGATAACCTCGGAAACCTTAGATTACATGAGATTTCATATTCTTCAATGACCGAAACTGGTCATATGTCAGAGAAGACCAAATCTCTCCTGGCAATGTACTTTTCTTAAGTAGGTGCTAAAAATGTTTATTTCTTCTTAAAAATATGTAACACAAATAAAAGAAAAAATCCATAATATACTCACTATATAGGTTTTCGTATCACTGTGAGAGAAATTTGGCATACAAATGTTCCAAATGCTAAGGTACATATTCAATTATACTTATCATATTATTATAATGAGTTTTCCTATATTTGTTTTTGTTTAAGGCTAAGCATTTAGCTAACACTAACATCAGACAATCTCAAAATCAAGTACATTCATAGACTGAGGACACTGGCTGGGACCCAAAGGATTTTAGAGCAATTCAAGTTACTGGACAATGTAGAAGAGTTTCCTGTTTCTAATCGTTGAGCTAAAGACCAAGAGACTATGTCAAGGGCTTATACAAGTAACTTCTGCATGAGAAGTCAAGTATAACTAGAAAATGTTGAACACTGCTTCCAAATTTTACACTGAATGTATAAACCAGTACTTCAAGGCTTCCAATTAGGGATTTTAAGCTATATTATGGCCACGTAATTTAGGCTTTTGTGTTCATTTTGATTGAGATCAACTTGTAAATACAACCATCAAATATCTCTGCTCTTAAGGCCTGAATAAAATCATCATTGGCTAGTACCAATCATGAAGTAACAACTAGGACATTGTACTGGTAGATTCTTTATATGTTTTATTGTTTTATATAATGCTTATTAATGCCTTTCTTTCTCAACAGTTTACCTCTGTAAATTTTTTGCTTTCTTCAAAAGAGTTGTATAAACGGCAACACATCATCATTTATCTTTAAATTAAAATACCCAACATTCAATTCAACTCTATTCCACATGTGTTTACATGGTTGAAGTGAAATGGGAAGACCAGATAAGGAGGAACATATCAAATGGACACTTACTAGATTTGGTGAATGCTGCATTGATCTCATGGATGACACACTGGTCTGGTGCATGTAGCCATAGCCTTGGGAATGGCTTTGCTGATAGGCTCCAGGAAGAACAGGCGCTACATGTTAAACATACACAGACACAAAGATTCCTTAAAGCTAGCCTCCAAATAGCCATCCCAAGCCCTCAAAGTGAGGTTATCCTCTGCTAGAAGCTTCTAAAACAAAATGCCTTTTCAGTGTTGTGAAATTTAGGTTGCAGTGCTATAAGTGATCTCTAGATTAGTAGAAACCTTAGTAGTTAGGGACACATGAAGAAAATCAGTTTAGCATGCAGTTAAATATATTTTAAATATTTTTGTTGTTCTATTGCAGATGCTATGTTAAAAACATAAACAAAAATTTGTCATACTCCCTGAAAGAAATCATGCTTTTATTTGACCCTGTGATCCTTTTCGGCATTTTCCAGAAGAAAAATCAGAATTTTAAAGGAATTTAATGGCATTACCAAACCAATGATAGAGTATAAATGTTTTCATAGGGTATTTCTCATATAACGGATACTGTCAATATTTCAAGTCATATAGCTGAATGTTACTTTTAAAAAGATGGCAAACATAACGTATGTTTAGCAATGTATGTTTGTTCAGTAGTTAACAAAGTCTGTACCCTTTAAAGAAACATTTACCTAGAATCTATGAAGCCTTTATTTTATGAGTAAGTGGTATCAGCTGACTTATCAAGACTAAATAAGTCAACTAAATATGTTACAAACACCTGAGAAACCAGAATTTCATAAACATTATTTTTCTATATTGAAAAAGTATCAAAATAGTATTCATTCAGTTTGTGCTCTCCAAACCACTAATTGTGACATTCAAAAGGCAGAGTTCCTGTTTTGAAGGACTCTGAATTCTAGAGAAGCCAACACAGAAGCTAGATTTTAAAATCCCACAGAATCAGCAGACATACGTTTGTGTGCATGTTTCTCTGTGAATGTGTTTATCTGTAACCAGAAACATGAGCTATAAATGAGGGTATTTTCATAGCATGCCCTTCATTGTGTTTCAAATAATTTATATGCTACATTAGTACAACTTTTATGTCATATGTGCTATAAAATATGTAATAGTTTGCCATTTTTGTTTAATCAGGCTGAGTATATAAAGTAATTACAAATGGTTGATTTATTCAGAACAGTTTTTATAATAAAAGGAATGAGAACATTTAATTCTGGGTGGTATGAATAATTAATATAAGTAGCAAATTCACTCCAATGATACGTGAGATCATCAATACTTTAAAGAAGTTTAATTATCAGAAAATTACAAATCATTTAATAGGTTCTCCAAATGATAACTACATTAGATAAATGGAAATTTTTAAAATAGCTCAAGTGAATTTATCTTATAAACTTATTACAAATTATGCTTAATGTCCAGATAGGGGATCAAAGAGAAATTGCCAAGATCTCCACTTGAATTATAGTATATTGTAAAGTCATTAAAACATCATTAAACATCTAATACTTCAGAAAAGAACACTTTTTAACCTTTTCAGCAACACTTAAATATTTAATGTCAAGAGATATTAAGTATATTGTCAAAATCCACTCACGAAGAAAAAATAATAAACTTCCCATAGATCTCCAGGCCCACTTAATTAGCTAACTAAGGAGGTTTTTCTATGTATTTGGATCTGGAAGCATTGAGCATTCATCCATTCACTGCCTCTGTTCTCAGTAAATATTTATTAGTTAATGCGTGCACAAAGCTCACTGCATTGGGCACACAGTAAGCCTTCACGAATGGTAACAATAATTACTGCTGTCCACTATGTTCAAGGCATGCCAGAAAGAAAAAAAGTGACAAAAACAATTGCTCTCCTGGAGCACAATGGTCCTGGACACCTGGCCTTTTACCAAATTGAGGAAAAGGCACTGGCTAATCGGTATTTCCAATTAAATGATTTGGGCTGCAGACTGACAGTCTTGCACTGGTTTTTAACCATTTAAACAACTCATGGCTTCATTAATTACTGCTTGAATCTATGTGTAAAGTTTTAAAGATTAAATTTAAACATCTCTATAAATTTATAAAAATTAAATTCCAATTCATTGTTATACCATTTAACTATGAACTTTGAGTTCTGATGTATAGAGGTAAGCACAGCCATCTTAAAATGTTTAGGAAAAACTTTCAGGAGTGAACTCTGAAAAGAGCTGGAAAACCAGGATATCGCATACTCTGTAAGACATTTAGGTTCGCTCAGTTTAGACATCACAATCCAGCTTAGTGTCCATAAGTACTGACAGTTCAAGAATGTTGCTTAATCATGTTCTCTCATTTTGGCTTTCAAAAAATAAGTAGGCTGGGTATGGTGGTTCACGCCTGTAATCCCAGCACTTTGGAAGACCAAAGCAGGAGGATTGCTTGAGCCCAGGAGTTCGAGACAAACCTGGGCAACATAGCAAGACTCTGTCTCTACTAAAGATAAAAAAAATTAGCCAGGTGTGGTGGTGCACGCCTGCCATCCCAGCAGCTACTAGGAAGGCTGAGGTCGGAGGATTGCTTGTACCTGGGAGGTCAAGAGTGCAGTGAGCTATGTGATCTCACCACTACACTCCAGCCTGGGTGACAGAGTGAGGCCTTATCTCAAATATTTTAACATATACATATGTTGAGATAAGGTCTCACTTTGTTACCCAGAGTGTATGTGTGTGTGTGTGTGTGTGTGTGTGTGTGTGTGTGTGTGTGTGTGTGTGTGTGTGTCAGTGTGTATATTTTGTGTGTTCGTATATATACATACATACATATATATACACAAAAAAAGGTATATTTAGGCCTACTCCTTATTTATATGTGACTTTCAAAGGGAACATGTGCTACTCAAATACAGCAAGAAAAGTAATGTATGAATCCTAAATATGTATATGTTGGAGAGGGCAGGGAGAGAGTTTAGAAGGAGAAACCTTGGAGGAAACATAATCCATCTATCTAGTCCTTGCCATTTATCTTCATGCCTTTATTGATTATTCTCATTTGCTCTCTGGCTAAATTACTTATTTAAAAGTTTCTTTGGGATTATAAAATCTTGTTATCTACCTGGTATAATAAAAGAGTTTTTAGGGAACTCCTATAGAGGTTATAAAAACCATAAATGATGGCTCACGCCTGTAATCCCAGCATTTTGGTAGGCTGAGGCAGGCAGATCACTTGAGGTCAGGAGTTAGAGACCAGGCTGGCCAACATGGTAAAACCCCATCTCTACTAAAAATACAAAAAATTAGCTAGGCATAGTGGCGTGTGCCTGTAATCCCAGCTACTTGGGAGGCTGAGGCAGGAGAATCACTTGAACCAGGGAGAAGGAGGTGGCAATGAACTGAGATGGCGCCACTAGACTCCAGCCTGGGCAACAGAGTGAAACTCTGCCTCAAAAAAAAAAAAAAAAAAATAGACAAACATAATTGAAAGCCTAAGGAAATTAACTTAATAAAAGCAAAATGGCAATTTAAGAAGAGGCACAAACACTACTTTTCTATTGTTTTGCTACATAAATGCCTTTTTTTGTAAAGTTAGGTAAAATAAGAAAAAGGAAATCTAAAGCAATGGCTTTACATTGGGTTCACTGAGAATTTGGTTGCAAGATACCTATTCCATGTATGAGATTTCTTCTATGAACATATGGAATCAAAGGATTTTTAAAAAGCAAGATGTTAGGTTAATTTGGCAACAAACAAGGGCCTTTTAATCAAAGAGTAAAAGCATAGTGTCCTGTTTATTAAACTTGTAATCAGATACTATTGGCATTGCTAGAAATGGGTGACAATAAAGGGACAATGGCTTTTCTAACCAAAGAGTGAGTTTGACAGGTTTTCTTATTTCAACAACATTAAAGCCACAAACAATAGTTTTAGTTATGCTAAGGCAGCAAAATACACAGACTCAAATTTCATTTCACATTGGTAAGATTTATTGACCAAAGATCTAGAAGCTGACTAAAGTTCTAAGCATTTCAGTTCTATTTTGGAATATCCTACAATATTTATAATATCAAAATGTCTCTTCTACTGTACAATAAAGTACTTTCGCATATAGCCTATACCAATATTTTCTGTTTAATATTTATTATTAAAATGGAAAGAGATAAAACCAAGATAAAGAAGCGAGTACATATGAAGACCATAAAACAGAAGAAGAAAAGGGAGGAAGAAAACTTTTTTTTTGAGGTGGGGTCTTACTCTGTCACCCAGGCTGGAGAGTAGTGGTGTGATCACAGCTCACTTCAGCCTCGAACTCTTGGAATCAAGTGATCCTCCAGCCTCGATCTCCCAAGTAGTTGGGCATATGCCACCATGCCCAGCTAACTTTTTTTTCTACAGACAAGATCTTACTACATTGCCCAAGCTGCTCTTGAATTCCCAGCCTCAAGTGATTCTCTTGTCTCAGACTCCCAAAGCACTGGGATTACAGGCATGAGCCACTGCACCCTGCTGAGAACATTGTAAGAGGCTTACCAAATCTGAAACTGGAAAAAAGAGGAAATATATGTAAACACACAAAGATTAAACGAAGAAAAGAAATGTACCCACAGTAAAGGTAGAAGAGTACTCAAAAAGAAGCTCACTCCGGGGGATGTACCTAGACTGAGTGAACGAAGAGAATAAAATTAAGTGTTCTTGGTGCATGGTGGTGCTTTGTATGTTGTCATTTAATTACTGCAACAACTATCTAAAATAGGCACCATTCCCACTTCGCAGAACAAAATACAACAGAGGCTTAGAGATCGAGCAGGAAGGCAGCAGAAAAATTATCTTTGTGTAGTGAAGCCACTGTAAAGATTTCAAGACATCCAAGATACGGTGAAGGTTTTGAAGGCCCCTCAATGACTATAGAGTAACAGTCGATGGCCAAATTCCTAATGCAAAAAAATAAAGAAAAGAAAAAGAAAAAAATAGTACTTTATTGACTACAGAGGTAATGTGAAGAGAAAATAATTTGGGTTTTTTCCTATGGGCTTACTTTTTGAAAAAAATCCAGGAAAAGGGAGAAAATCACCATTCAGAAATTTCCCAATGAAGAGTCTATATTACAATGCGATTATTGTCATATTTTCTAAC